CAATTTGCCTACGTCCACGAAGCTGTAGGGATTTCACTATTGAGAGAGTTGAATACAGAGAGCGGCTGTACAATCCACGATTAACCCTAATCACCAAAACAACAGGATTTATATGTCCTACACACTGAGTTGTATAACGGGCCCAAAAATTTTTCTCGGGGGTGATGCCCCCGAACTCCCATGAGGCTTGTTCATGAGCGCTACGGCTTGGGCCTATCAGCCCAAGCCTTCGCTCCATGGACTAAGCCTCAGAAAATTTTCCATTAAAAAATTACACAACATTATTTCGGGTCGGGTCATCATCCGAATCACATATACAAACTAGACTCCAAAAAAAAACNTGAAAATAGATACAATGCTATCACAATATGACATGTAATGGTTGAATATATTAAGTTTTTATTAGATATTTCCTCAATTTTCTTCTTGAAATTACAATGCGATGCGGTCTCCTCCACAAGACAAGCTTTAAAAATCCGAAAGAGTAGCATCAAAATAAATAATAATAATAATAATCAAGATCCACAAAAATAAATTAATGTTTCAAACTTCCATTTTCCAAGTGGCTGCATATACCTCAGATTTGGGCATTCTAGAAAAAGTTGTGTGTGTGGTTTACCTACTATCTTCAAGATAAAGAAGATTGCTATTAGGCTTTTAGTTCCAGAAGTTTGTTGAGCATTCATTTTCAGTAGTTGTAGAAAAAAATACTCTGTAACCCCCTCAACTATGGCTTCAATCTCACATTTCCCCCTCAGCTATGGAGCCCTCACCTACTTGAATTGGTGTTACATTATCCAAAACCAAATGTCCATCTGGTTTTTCAAGGAGAATGCCCAACTGTGCATTAAAATACAAGTTTCAATGTCAATAGAAAAACATGATTGCTGAGGGGGAAAAGTGAAAGTATTAAGTATATTTGGAGGCGCAATGTAAGAAACGTATTAGCTTAGGGTACAATATTAGACTGAGGACATAGTTGAGGGGGTTAAAGTATAAGTTTTCCATATTCACAAACTACACTTCAGTCTTCTTTCCATAGGCAAGAGGTTATGAAAGCATTTGCTGTTGCAACCATATGTGCACTCAAATGAGAATTAAGAAATGATTAAGCAAGTGTTTTTGGTGATTATTTTTGAAGCAGTGAAAAAAACAATGAAAAAGGTGAGCACTTAATGAAATAAGCTAAACTCACAGCATCCATTAACATTTGCACATCAGGATCAGTAACAGGTTGGCCCATCTTGCTTAGACCATCTCTGAGCTCTTCGAAAGTAAGGTTTCCATTTTTGTCTGTGTCCATCATATTGAACAACTCTTTGATTCCATCCACTTGCTCATGGGGCAAGTTGTCTGCCACCACCTAAAAATCAAAAAATAAGAAAGAAGAAGAGTCTTATGCATTGCATAGAGAAAGCTGTAACATGATTCAAGAATAAACGCGAAGAACAAATTAGATTTCGACCCCCTCAAATGTGGCTCGATCTTACTCCAGCCCTTCAGCTATTGAGTTTCTCAAATTGCCACCCCAACTGCTTGAATTGATTTTAAATTGCCTCAAAACCAAATGTATATTATGTTTTTGACGGAATTGGGACAATGTCAGACCCATAAATGTGATCTACAATGCGAGAAATGTGATAATGGAGGGGGCAATGTGAAACCAAAAACCATTGTTGGAGGTGCAATATGAAAAACGTGATAGTTAAGGCAACAATGTCTCAAGGGAGCCAAGAAGTTTAATTTTTCCCATGCAAGAATTAAGCGAGTGTGGACAACTTACTCTTAAAACCTTCTTCTTGAACTTATTCATCAAAGAGAACTGTTTAATCCTCGTCCTAACATTTTCTCCCAAAGGAACATTTGGCACCTTATCGGCACTTTGTATCCAACGAGACTCTTCGTATAAATAGAAAACAACAGTTAGTTCATATACACAATATATTCCACAGTATATATCTGATAATATTTGTTATGCAGCGATATGGAGTACACACCTAGCACTTCTTCAACTGTCATCCGGCTGTAAGGATTTGGTTCGAGCATACCCTTCACAAGATCCTTCGCATCATCAGAAACCTTTGGCCAGGGGTCCCTCTCAAAATCTATATTACACCGGACAATCGCCTGTGCAATTCCTTCTTCAGTTTCTGTGTAGTGACATCCAAAAAATGACAGCATAAAAAAAAAATGTAGTATATGGAACAAGATAATTGCTTCTAATGCAGGAATTCAGCAGTGCAAGAATTCTATAAAACATGCTCATCTCCGAAGTAATTGCTAACTGAATTAAAGGCATCCTTCATGAGATAGTAGTATCACCATTTTGGAAGTTTGATTTTCAATATGGATAGAGAACACCAAAATGTGCAATGAAAGGTGACCTAATGAGGCATCTGATATGATTTGGGATTTAACAGATCAATTCCTCTGAAGTAGTGATTGAGAGGATCAAGAACTGCTTGTGTACTACAGAGCTTTCTATATGCTTGAATGGAGGGTTGGTTGGTTTTTTTTCTAGTGCCAGAGGTATAAAGCCAGAAGCCCCTATATCACCATCATCTTTAGAATGCTCTGGAGGTTCTCATCCAGACAGTTAAATCACAAATTGAAAACTCATGTCACTTGGTTAAGCTAATGATCGTTTTCTCTTCTCCCATGCTGATCCATCATCAATGTTTGTGCTGGAAAATATGACAGATAAGTTCCAGATCCTGTCATGCATGAAAGTAACTGCCAGTTCCAAATCCTCTCAGGTATGAAAGCCAACCAGCAACCACACTCAAACCCAAATCTTTATGGCAAGTGTGAAGCCAGAATATAAGCACCAGATTTTGCAGTGTGGCATTCCATTGAGCACTGGTTTCACTAGTTGTATTCTGCCTAAGGGCATGCTGAGGAGAATTGAACAGCTGATAAGGTCTTTTTGTGGCCATGTACTGAACTTATAATAAGTGGCGCAAACAAGTCTTGCTCAGATATCACCAAGCATAAGGAGGAGGGGGGCTTAAGACTTAAATGTCTTTAGGATTGGAACGGAACTCTAATAGTTGGGTAGCTTTAGTATGTGTTCACTGCTAAAGAAAATCCACGGGCTAGTTGGGTGACGGTCATGTTGGGATTTAACACGATTTAAATCTATTAACAAACACACACAATCGAAGAATAAATCAAGAATATAAAGCAATAAAAAACAAGAAAGAACAAGACATAGATTTTACGTGGTTCGACAATTTGCCTACGTCCACGAAGCTGCAGGGATTTCACTATTGAGAGAGTTGAATACAGAGAGCGGCTGTACAATCCACGATTAACCCTAATCACCAAAACAACAGGATTTATATGTCCTACACACTGAGTTGTATAACGGGCCCAAAAATTTTTCTCGGGGGTGATGCCCCCGAACTCCCATGAGGCTTGTTCATGAGCGCTACGGCTTGGGCCTATCAGCCCAAGCCTTCGCTCCATGGACTAAGCCTCAGAAAATTTTCCATTAAAAAATTACACAACATTATTTCGGGTCGAATCATCATCCGGATTACATATACAAACTAGATTCTAAACAAAAAACCAACAGGTCATTTACCTGAAATGGAGAGGTTATGAGAATTTAGTCCATTCTCATCAAATACATCAATGGAGGTGGGGAGTCCACTATCTTGTGGCATGACAATTGGCATTCACATGGTCCACTGGTGTTCAGATGGCAAAACAGGGAAGGTGAAATATCTAGAACCCCTCTAAATGCTAGTCAGTGACAATCACTGGAATTGGCCCACCCATCTTACAAATGACCTCAGATATCTAGACCTCACTGCCAGATTATCATCCAAATTCTTTGCAGCCTGATCAGGTGTACAGTGGTTACTTGCTTCGACTGGCAAATACTCTACCAAATTAGCTTGCAACAGCCTTTATATTTCATCTCCGAAGGTTCCATGGTACAAATTATTTGATAGGGAAAGTCAATTCCAAGAATAAGTTTTATTTTATGGCTGAAATTGCTAGGGAAATTGATAAACAAGGACAAGCTGTGGGCTTATATGCCTAGGGGAGGTCATGTGTTTTCTGCAGAATAGAGGATGAAGATCAGCAGCATTAGAAATTTAGAGTTTTTGTGTTGCAGAAATGTTTATATGACCTTCACTCCTATTTTTTTTTCAACTTCATTTGAAAAATTCCAATGGAATTGAGAGTAAACTACTTAGGATTACGCTCGTTAAACCTGAGGGTTCCCATCCATGTGCTATGGAGAGTGAAAAGGAATTGTGGTTAGATTCAAGTACTAACAAGATAGGAAGCACGGATATTTTTTGGAGGGGTGTCGTGGCACAGCTGGATATGGACGGATACGTGTCCGATAAGGCTAGAGGTGTGCTAAATAGTAGACTAAGTCAGACACGACCAGGACACGATTAAGATACGGTCAAGACACGACAATAAATTTTTTTTATTAAAAAAAACTATTAACTCTTAAAAAGAGTGTAATTTTTATTTTTTAATATATTTTTTGTTATATAACTTATATACTATGAATGCTAATAGATGTTGTTGGGAATCGTATAACATATTGCGGAAGCGTAAGATTAAAGACATACCTTATTCGTTTTAATCAAAAAATCATTTGACGATGTTCCACGTACTTTAGAATCTAAAAATCGTCTTTTCTTCGAATGCTCAAGCAGTATGGTGTTTTTACACAATAAGAATCAACACCGAGTTTCTACAACACAAAAGCCTTCTAACATTATGTAGGGAGAGAGAGAAATATAGTAGGAGACTTTAACGTTTGAATATTTCTCAAAAGATTTATCATCTACTAGATTGCCTTGGGTTTATATAGGCAACCAATATGTGTTATTAAGAGACACCTCATATAGGGACATGTCTGTTAATATTTAATTGACATGTATTTTGGGTGCTAAAAGATACCTCCAAAAGACATGTCCCTTTGGACATTCTTTAATTTTGGGTTGACCCACCATGGGCGCCCCGGTTCAGGTCCATGACTCAACCAATATCTAACATCTCCCACTCGCACATGGTAGGTACGATATTGCCATCTCTCTCAATCCATTATATACATCAACATCAATTCATACAGGCTAATAGGTCGTGGGACAACTTAGCACACTAGCAATTTGGGAGCTCTACACTAGAAACTTTACAGAGCCAGCATAGAGACATCAACCAAAAAAAAAAAATGGTGTCTCAAGTACTCTAGATCTATTTGAATACACCGGTTCAAGCATCTCTAATCCCTCACAATATAAGAGCGTGCATAACCCTTCGAAGCTTTCGCCTATACATTCACACTTTCTCACTATCTAAACTAGCGCCCAAAGTTGTCGACAGTGAATATATCGCATGATGTTCCAAATGGTCTTTCTTTCGCCCTCATGTCACTTAGTTCAAAATTAATCGCTTTTCCAACAATGTCCCGAAAGTCTGAATCACTCATGGCCATAAGTTACATGCCAAGAGTACACAGAATGTTTGGTTAAACAAAGTAACCTGGTCATGTAAAAATGACTCGGAGGGCTCACACAATGAAGAAATAGGGATCCATTCTTTCACCTCCTTAATTGTCGCCAAACACATGTAGCATGAAATATATGCCACGGTGGAGTGTCTTGATCCTAATGAGAGCGTATGTAATACTCAAACACCGTATAGATCTTAGTCTAGTCGCACTACAAGCTTCTAACCCGAGTTCTCTATTTGGTCGCCCTCCAAAGACACCAAATTAAGATCTCGTATCTGGCTAATCAACAAACATAGGCATAATGGACATGGAGTTGTGTTCATTATCGATCCTCAAATGTCAGATCTCATTATGTGTACAAAACAGAGCGATACTATATGCTAAAGTATCTCATCTTTGCTTTCCATATTAAGCACCAAAGGCGATTTCTCATGTGAGTGAGCTAATCACGTTCGCTGACATACTTAATGTGTGTGCTTTCTCAAATATCAAGGTAATCAAGCAATATAACATTTAATTGCAATTAAAACCATGTATTAATGTCTCAAAAAAATGTTAATACAAATGACTGTGTGATCCATACTGTCTCTAGCACATAATCAATGCCTACAAAGTCCTAGAGTTCTAACATGAGCCATATACACATCTCTAACTATAGGCTTAGTTAGGGGGTCTGCAACCATCTGAGTTATAGGTATGTGTTTTAAGATTACTTCTTTTTGTGCAATCATGTCTCTGATGTAATGATATTTTAGATCTATGTGTTTGGTTCTTCCATGATACTTAGGATCCTTAGCATAAGCTAATGCAGCCATGCTATCACAATGAATCATCACTGCGCCCAAGGTATGTGTGACAACTCCTAGATGTTGAAAGAACCTTCTTAACCAAACAACTTCTTGTACAACAGTAGAACAAGCCACGTATTTTGTTTCCATGGTGGATAAAGATATGCATGATTATTTTTTACTACTCCATGTAATGGCCCCACTATTAAATAAGAAAGCATATCCTAATATGGACTTGCGTTCATCTATATCACCACCCCAATCAACATCACTATAACCAACTATCTGTAAATCTGGAGACTGGTAGCATAACATATAATCTTAAGTCCCCTTAAGATATCGTAGTATCCTTTTGACTGCCTTCCAATGAGCTATTCCAGGGTTTGACTGAAAACGACTAACAAGGCCTACCACAAAGTAAATATCGGGACAGGTACACATCATAACGTACATTAAGTTACCTACTGCATTGGCATAGGAAACACGAGCTATCTTTTCCTTTTCCTTAGGAGATTTAGGGCACATCTTTAGGCTTAGGCTATGGTCTTTTGTTACAAGAGTGTCTATGAGTTTGCAGTTTTGTATGTGAAATCGTTCAAGAACTTTCTTAATGTAAGTCTTTTGAGAAAAACAAATAAATTTCTTAGAACGATCCCTTAAGATCTTAACTTCAAGCATATAACTTGCTTCACCCAGGTCCTTCATCTCAAATGTTGAGGACAACCACTTTTGAGTAGTGATAATTATCTCCTTATTATTTCCAACTAATAAAATATCGTCAACACACAAAGATAGAATCAAGAAGCTATCTTTAGACCATTAACATACACACAATGGTCTTCATCGATCATTGTAAACTCATTAGAAGTGATAACTCGATGAAACCATAGATACCACTATTCAGATGA